ACAAAGATTGCTTTTTTATGATATTCTCATCATCCCATTCATTGTTCTTTTGAATCTTTGGCCTTGGAGTATTCTCAGAGTGCTTTGAACCAAGATTACAGAACTCATTAAGAAGGTCTTGAGCAGGAGCCAAATACTTTGAGCTCCTTATTTGAAAGTGTTGTGGCATCATTTGTTGCTGTCTTTGAATATTTACTACCGACCTAGAACTTGATGGACCAAACCTTAAATCATCTTGTTGTCCAAGATCAAAAGACTGATGAATCCCAGTAGTCCCAGGATTTGATGAGCTCAAAGAGAGTGAAAGGCACCTTTCATTTCCTTCACCAGGAAAAACACACCTCAAAGATGGATCATCCACCATCAATCTGTTCTGATTATTCCAAGCTGATGAAGAATCCATGAAGTTCTCATTTGTTGTGTCAGATATACCTGTTAAATCATGGCTATAATATTCACTTGTTGATGTGGGCTTGGACGACGACGCACCACCACCAGGTTTGTTGAAGTACTCCTTCCACAAAACTGAGGTGTTTTCATTGTGTTGATCCAAATTCTTTGGTGGAAATCCTACCATTTCCATGCCAGCGGTCAAGTTGTAGATCTCTGAACTATGCTCAAATTGCTGCAACTGGCTCACCAGATGAGTCTGAATATTTTGATTTCCAGTTGAAGAATCATGATCAGTATAGCAATATCCAGTAGATGCAACCATCTCCCTTGTTTTCTCTTCGCCGATTTGAGCCGCCATACTTATAGACCTTAAATCTCCGTTTTTTTTTTTTGTTTTTTTTTTTCCCTTCTTTATCTAGATTTTCTTGATTTTGTTACTGAAAATCAAGAAAGACACACCCAATAAATCAGAAAAACAATCTTCTTAGCCAAGTTCTATCTATCAAACAAAAAAGTGTGCGTGTGTGTGTTGTGTGTGTGTGTGAGTGTGAGAGAGAGAGAGAGATGAACATGAAAGAGTGGACTATGTTGAGATGTTTATGTTAACCATATGTGAAGGAGGTGGAGGTGGAGGTGGAGGTGGAGGTGGGGTTTGATATACTTTTAAAAGTAACAATTTCCTAGCATCGTCTTTCCTACTTCGTGAAGGTAGCTCCAAATTATATATATATATATATATGTTGATCTTTTTATGTGCTTTTATTTTGAAGTACTTTCTATTAACATCGTTAATAAAATGTCGAGATGAGTAAATAATGAAGATGTTAATAAAGAGACGCCAACCTAATTGAGACATCGTCCAAGCCCCATCTCCAATTTTCTTACATGAAAGACCCGATTTCCGTATGAACGGACTAAAAAAATTATTTTAAAATTTACTTATAAGTTTAGAGAAACATGCAAGGCTTGCTTTTGTCTCTTTCTTTCTTAGACTTGTGCCCTTTGTAACCCAACAAGAGATGGCATGCCACGAAGCCAACCAAGGAAGGAAGATACACAAATAGGGGTGATGATGATGACCCATATTTTGATTATTTGATTTGATCTTTGGCTCTTTCTTTCCCCTCTTTCTCTCTCTTGTTCATGTAGGTCAATGTAAAATACATACAAAATACACTTCCTACGAATCTACTCAATTATTACATGCACCCACCAATCAAAATATATTATTTAATTCTTAGAACTATCCAAGAATTTTAAAACTTAAAATATGGTTTTCATAATAAATCATCGAAAGAAGAAACAGATATACTTTAAGGAATGATAGATACAAAAACAAATATATGTATGTACTGATAGGTTGAGAATCCCCAGATCTTGAGTTAAACTAGTCTTTTTGCAGGCTTTTTCAGATAGGTTTTAACTACATGTAAAACTAGAGTGGGCCCGGCTGATATATTCTGATGATATTTGCTTTCACGCAGAGAGATTTGGGAAGAAGAGAATGTGTGTGTTTGTGTGTGAGAAAGAAGGGGATGGGAATTAGATGCAAAAATTTGTGTAGGGTTGAGATGAGGTGGTCCAATATTTCTATCAAGTTTTAATTAAATCTACCCTTATTAAAGCCCTCCACCAAAAATGGGACCAGCTGCTTCTTTATCAAATTTTTCTCCACGCAGTGCCAAAAGGCCCAAACCTCACACCCCAAAATTCGGGGTGGGAAGAGGTGGGGCGAGCGGTTCGCCCCACTTGTGAATCGAACCACACTTCGGTGAAGTGAGCCGGCTCTCGACCCGTTTAACCCCTTACTCAAGACATTTTTTTCGGCACTCTGTGGAATAATTTTACAAGAAAATTTTAAAAATGACAATGTGCAAAGTGAAATAACTTTTAAAGATTTATTTTTAAGTAAAATAGTTTAAAATTCTTATCACTTACGTGGTTAACCCTACTTAAAAAGCATTACGTGGTTAACCCTACTTAAAAAGCATATTTTTTCCAACTTCTTTGATGGTATATGTCTGTTTAGTGTCAAAATAAGCCCCTAGACATGCTTTCAAGTAGGACCAAAATGGTCTTGTTTCCAAACTAGTATGA